TTTTTCTTCTTCTTCCTGTTCTTAAAGGATACCTTTCAGCATTTCATATAATACTGGTTTGGTGGTGATGAACTCCTTTAGCTTTTCCTTATCTGTGAAGCTCTTTATCTGACCTTCAATTCTGAATGATAGCTTTGCTGGATAAAGTAATCTTGGTTGTAGGTTCTTGGTATTCATCACTTTGAATATTTCTTGCCACTCCCTTCTGGCCTGCAAAGTTTCTGTTGAGAAATCAGCTGACAGTCGTATGGGTATTCCCTTGTAGGTAACTGGGTTTCTTTCTCTTGCTGCTTTTAAGATTCTCTCTTTGTCTTTTGCTCTTGGCATTTTAATTATGATGTGTCTTGGTGTGGTCCTCTTTGGATTCCTTTTGTTTGGGGTTCTCTGCGCTTCCTGGACCTGTAAGTCTATTTCTTTCACCAGGTGGGGGAAGTTTTCTGTCATTATTTCTTCAAATAGGTTTTCAATATCTTGCTCTCTCTCATCTTCTGGCACCCCTATAATTCTGATGTTGGTACGCTTGAAGCTGTCCCAGAGGCTCCTTACACTATCTTCGTATTTTCGGATTCTTTTTTCATTTTGCTTTTCCAGTTGGGTGTTTTTTGCTTCTTTGTGTTTTGAATCTTTGACTTGATTCTTGTGCTCCTCTGGTCTGCTGTTGGGTGTCTGTATAATATTCTTTATTTCAGTCAGTGTATGCTTAATTTCTAGTTGGTTCTTTATCATAACATCGAGGGTCTCATTAGATTTCTTGAGGATCTCACTACATTTATCGGCGGTCTCACCAGTCTTTTCGAGGGCCTTACTAAGTTTATCAGCAGCTTCTAGACAGTTCTTGAGAGACCTTAAAAGTGTGGTTTTGAGCTCTATATCTTCCATTTCTGACATTTGCATCCTGTTTCTTTGTCTCCGCATTTTTTTAATCTTTTCTTGGTGCACCCCCTAGTGGTCTTTGTGCGCAGTCTTGTAGTTAAGTCTTGATTGTTGTCGGTAATACCAGGGGTGATTTGACCTCCAGGCTAACTGGCTATGAGAGTCAGCTGTGTCTGCAGTGGGAGAGCTTCTGTGCTGGATCTCTAGGGCGGTGCTAATCTAGCCTTTGCCTGAGGTTATCCGGCAAATGGCGCTGCGCAGGGCTTGGGTGGGGCGGGTCCCCGGGGATCTACAGGGCGGGCCGGAGCGAGCAGTTATGGCTGCTCTCAGTTCCGTCCCTAGGGGCTCTGCCTCTCAGAGTCCCAGCAACTGCTGCAAACCTTGGAGAGAAAGCTGCCTTCGAGTTCTGACCGAAGCCAGACAGTCCCGCTTCTCCCGTTTGAGTCTGGGTCCCTAGAGACTCGCCCAGATCTGGAGCTCAGAGTCTGAAACTCCTTTCCGATTGAAAACAACAACCGCGCCCTCCACCGCCAGCCCGCTCCACGCGCGCACTCCGCACCTGAGTATTTCACTTCAGCACTGCACCTCCTCTGAGTCTGGGTATGATATTCTCTTTCCTCCTAGTTGTAGAATTTCCACTCAGCCAGCCTTCCTGTGGTTCTGGATGATGTCTGTTCTGTCCTTTAGTTATATCTCTGAAGTGGCTGTTCGAGGCAGCAATCTCCGGCATTAACCTATGCCGCCATCTTGGTTTCTCCCCTATGTTTTTTTTTATTATTTATTTACCACAAGTAAAGGTCAGGAATTGTTATCTTTCTTTTAATTTTTTTTTTACTGTTTCACTTCATTACTGCTGTGTATGTGCTCCATGTGAGTGACGTAGGAGCTTATGTAGGTAGGTGGGTTCCAACCTACGGCGAAAATCGCTTTACATCGCGCGGTAGGAATGGATCTCCCACGTAACCTGAGGACCTACTATACTCTTTACTCCTACCTTTCCTCTTGTACTCCAACCCCACTCTATGTTTAATATCTACCAGAGCACTTGGCACGTTCTAGAGAAATTATATTTATAGGTTGGGGTGGAAGGAGAGCCAAGTCCTAGCACTTCCAAGTGAGAAATATAGCATCCTTGACCAGTTAGGGATCACAGAACCAGACTGCTGTTGCTCCCTCACACTATGGCTTCTTGGCTATACTTAATGAAAGAGGCAAAGGCAACTAATTCTTACAGATCTGATCTATTCTGTCCACACACTATGCTAGGCCCTACACATTTACTTTCTCATTGCGCCTCAGTGAAAGGACACAGTGTATCATTTCTCCTCTGCCGGGGAGGTCACTGATGCTGAGAGTGCACCATGCTGCAGGCAGTCAATAAGGGAAAGAGCCAGGATTTAAATCTCAAATCATGTTACTTCCCTGTAGCACCTTCCATGGTGATAACCGCACATCAATAACACAGGCCTGGAATGGCTCCTGGGCATCAATATTTCTTTAAAGCTCACAAGATGAGTCTAACCCACAACCAGGGTGAGAATCACTTTTCCTCAGAAGGTCTCCAAGATCTAAATTCCAGGATTCCAGACACTTCTGGATTTTCCTATTTCCATGCAACTGCCTTCCTTCTTTGCTACTGGATTGTACTCTCTGCTCTCTGTATTTCATCTTCCACTGCCTCCACTAATGATTATGTTACTCCTCTGCTCTATAACCTTGGATAACTTCCCATTTGAGAATACGATGTAAACTATAAAGCCTTTTGCACATAAAAGTGGGCATGTATGGTCAACTCGTTGAGAACTTTTGTATACCAGTTTGTAGATCCCAGTCAAAAATTCCTGCTCCTAAGAATAAATTCCAAATTCTTTAACATGACAATTATGAATCCAAACTATCTTCCCACTCTCATCTCTTGCTTGCAGTCTTCCATGCTGCCAACCATACACACACCCTATGCTCCAGCTACACTGTGCTCCTTCTCCTTTTTCTAACATAATTACACTTTCAAATTTCTGGATTCTTGGATCATGCTCATTCCTATTGACTAGGATATTCTATTCCCCGTTTCATACTAGATGAGCTGCTCCTCAGTTCCAGCCCTTCTGGCTTTTTTTCTCCCCATCACACATGCTGAGTCCATTCAACTTCAGGCTCTTGAACTTCCTGTTCTCTTTACTTGCAATTCTTTTGTCCTAGATCTTCAAGGACTGGCTACTTTTCATCATTCAGGTCTCAGCTTAAGTATCACCTCCACAAAGAGTTTTTATCTTATCACCCTATCCAGAGTATCTGTCCCCCATTCCCCACTCCTTCCAGTTTAATCTTCATCCTGCTCAATTATCTTCTCAACGTTTACCATCCTTTGACATTGCTGGCTTTTTAAAAAAATTATTATCTCTAGCCTTCCAATAGCATATAAGGCCCTTACAAGCAGGGATTTTTGTCTTTTTTATTACACCATGTCCTTAGTGATTAGAACAGTGCCTGCACAAAGTTGAAGCTCAATAAATATTTGTTGAATGAACATATTAATCCTCCACACTCAGCCCAAATGCCATATTCTCTGTGAATCCCCAGTGATCTCCCCCTATCCTTATCAAAATACTTTGTCCTCCCGAAAACAGGAACCATGCCTTATTTGTCTCTATATTTTCAGTTCCCAACACAGTATATTGTGCTCAGTAGTTTTTCACCCCTGATATTTTTAAAAATATTCATTTTCTGAGGGAAGAACTCAGCATTGCTCAAAAATAGAAAATATAGCTGAAAGTTCAGGGCAGAGAAAGTCAAGGATTATGTCGATGTGAATAGAGGTCTTTTCAAAGGAAAATTAATAGCATAAAATTCTGCCTGAATGTATGTGTAGTCCAATGTTTTATCAGTACTGTAGTATCCATGACCCTGACAGATAAATTATTTAATTTTCAAAAATGAATGGAATGACTTTTCTTCACAGCTAACTATTCTAGCTAATGCTACCTCCTGACACAAATAACTAGAGATTTTAAATAGGTACAAATTCATATTAAAATATATTCATGGCTCTGCCATCTACTAGCTCTGTGACTCTGGGCAAGTCATTTAGTTTCTCTGAACTCAGTTTCCTCCTATAATAATGAGGGTTTGATAAAATTTTTAAATGAAGTGCTAGGGGCCTCAGAGCAAGATGCTTAATAAATGTAGTTTCCTATCTACCGCATTCAACAGATTGAAAACCAAACCTATATCTCTCCCTTACCTCTTCCCCTCCCTCCCTTTTTTGAAAATATATTTTTATTGATTTCAGAGAGGAAAGGAGAGGGAGAGAGAGATAGAAACATCAACGGTAAGAAAGAAACATTGATCAGCTGCCTCCTGTATGTCCCATACTGGCAATTGAACCCGCAACCCAGGTATGTGCCCTGACTGGGAATTGAACTGTGACCTCCTGGTTCATAGGTCAGTGCTCAACCACTGAGCCATGCCACCCGGGCCCCCTCCCCGTTTTTGATGAGCACAGAGAAATCTGGTTTTAATAGATCTTTGTCCTGAAGTGGTTTCCTATCTACTCCTTCCTTTTGCTTTTCCTTCCTTGCTTTATTCATCCAATATTGAGCATCTTTTTTGCCAGGTACAGTGTGCATATAATGATGACCAAGACAGACCAGCGGGGAGGAGTGTAATGAGAACCATGACAAAGGACGTACAAGGAGGCCAACCTAGTCATCAAGTCTGCCTAAGAAAGTGTTCAATCTGAGACCTGATGGACAAGTAAAAGTTAGCTAAATAAAGAGGGGCAACGAGTCTTACTGTTGAAGAAAGCATCAAGGTCAAAGGCTTGTAAGAAATGTGAGAGAAAGCATATCAAAGAACTGAAGGAATTTCAGTATGATAGGAGGAATGACAGAAAGACTGATCAGATGAGGCTGTCATGTCAGCAGGACCAAATCATGAAGGGCCTTATAGGCCCTGCAGTACAGGCAGCCACTGAAGGATTCTAAGGAAGTGATATGATTAGATTTGCATTTTTGGAAAACCATTCCAGCTATAGTATAAGGAGTCTGGAGGGGAGTAAGACTACAGGCAGGAAGACCAGTTAAGAGGCTATTACAATATTTTCTTATTTCATTTCTTCTTCCCTACAGATACTTGGATTAACTCATGCTTTCCACAAATTACTACCACCAAAGATCCCATATTCAACACTCAAACTGCAGCATACACACCAGAAATGACTGATACTGACACCATACACTCAGCATTGTCTACTGATACACTGTACTCTACTACAACTCCTTCTGCCCCTACTCGGGATCGGGCTACCATTTCTCCACGAAAAACAAAATTAATTTGCATAACAGAAGTTTTTATAGAAACTACCACCACATCTACAGAAACTGAATCACCTATTGAATATAAAACAGCATTCAAGAATGAAGATGTTGGATTTGGAGGTAAAGCTTCCTGTGTCTGCAGTGTGTGTGTGTGTGTGTGTGTGTGTGTGTGTGTAACAGATAATACATAGAAACTAGCTGTCTCTAGATCGGTTGCTCAGGACCTGCCAAATACAAATAAAAGCTTAATGCAAACTCAACTTTAGACACAGAGCTCTAATAAACTGTAATGATTAAACTAAAAATCATGAATACAAAATAGTTTCACTTTTCAAACTCAACTTTAAAAAATAAATTACTATCTATGAATGTGTAGAAGTTCTTTTTAAACTATAAACCTTAGGGGCATATGATTAGAGATTTGCTTTTTCTTATTTAAAAGTAAGGGTCTTATACTTAATTAGCTCCAAACTTATCATCTCAAGGCCACGGAGAAATATTGCAACTTAGAGAATAGGAAGTGTATGAGAGGCAGGGCCAAGGGTTCTATAGGTGAGAAGCAAAGAAGTAGATGTGGCCCCTGTGTGGCCACAGAGAAGGCTTTTCTCCTTCACTATCTGTGTCTCAATCACAGGCAACGATGAATGTTAGAAAAGCAGTGCACAACAATGTAAAGTGAAGGACCAACAAGCCATGTTTCTGTTTTCTCCAGGTGTTCCCACGGCTCTGCTAGTGCTTGCACTCCTCTTCTTTGCCGCTGCAGCTGGTCTCGCCATTTGCTACGTCAAAAGGTGGAGTTATCGGAATATCATTTACCTTGTAATCTTTGTTGTATCTTATGTTTTTCCAAACTTGTTATTCATATTTTCCTGATCAAAATGGAGATGACAGTTCTCTTATACTGTAAATTTTCTCTCTCACCTCACCTCTTCCCCCTACCACATAGTCTTTCCTACTATATCAGCACATGCATATTAGCCAGCCTTTAAATAAAGGTTATTGGCTGTCCCTTTGAAAATAAATAAATAAAAGATTGACATCTAGGGGAAAATGTATATGCTTTATTTGATTTTCAATTCTTTACTTTTGGTGGGAGAGTTGTGAGGTCAGCCCAAAGTTTGGCCTGTGAACTTACTATCCAATCTAAATGAATCCATTAGAATGGGAATGTGTTCATGTATTTGAGTGTGCATGTGTTAGCATCTCTCAGAAATAAAGTACCCAGTGTGCTGTGCCAATATGGCCATCACAGGCATAGTGTTATCTATTGTTATAGGTGTTACAGAGAAGCCTCTCACTTTAATTTCATGTTTATGCCTACAGGTATGTAAAGGCCTTCCCTTTTACAAACAAGAATCAGCAGAAGGAAATGATTGAAACCAAAGTAGTGAAGGAGGAAAAGGCTGATGATGGCAACCCTGGTGAGGACTCAAAGAAAACAGATAAAAAGCCAGAAGAGCCCAACAGTCCACCCAAAACTACAGTGCGGTGCATGGAAGCTGAAGTTTAGAAGAGAAAAAAATGAGAGCACACACGTGAGGCTGATTTCTTGCCTGACACATATCCTGGCTCCAGATGGGGAAACTAAAAGGGCTAAAGGACCAAACAAGAAAGTCCAGCCTTGCTTCCTAACTGGAATCAACTCAGGGCTATCTTTGGACTATGTAGGTAATGAAACCAAAGTGAATTCCTGTTTTACTGCAATCCTTGCTGAACCCTATCCTCCTGCCTCCAAAGCTTCCCACAGCTTTTCTGGCCTCGTTATGTCCTAATAATATCCCAGTGAGAGAATGGAGCTAACAAGTACAAGGATCTAAAACAGCTAATCTGAACACATTTGTAAAGAGACCTCTCAGCTGGCTGAGAACAGGTGAGTTGAGAGCCAAGAAACCACCAAAACCAAGGCTTTCTCTATTGACTCCACAGCCCAGATCCCTTCTTCAGCTCTGAAAGGAAAACATTTATACCACCTGGCATATCCTTCTGAGCCAGGCAAGAGCAAAAGAAGGAAGGAAAAGTTTAGTAACTGAAGGCCATAGAGATTCCCGTGACTTGAGACCTGATCTCTGTAAAGCCAAAATAAACAGAGGAAAATAATGAGGCTGAGGATATTGACAGCAATTATCAGCAGAGACTACAAATACAGAGAGGGTCAAAGTATTCATCTCTGAATAATTGGAGTTGGAATCACTTTTTAGAACATACACACATTTTCTTTTCTTTTTCTTTTGCTGCTGCTATTTTCTGTAGAAAAATATACTTTTGCAAGAAACCAAAAAAATCTCTTAGAAATTTCTATTTTTATCTGGGTGATAGATATTATTACTGAGGAAAATTACTGTGTTAAAAAGCAATGAAGTTTAACAAACATTTGCTGAATATCTACTATATATTAGGTATTGTGCAAGGTATTACATTCTGTAATTGAACATATTCATCAAAAGATTGCACATAGTATAATAATGTCTGAAGTTAATTGTTTTGTTTTGATATCCCTAGCTTATCCTCTTTTAAAACTAATTTTTTTGCTGAGACTAACCTATTAATTATTTTCTCTAATATGATAACCATTAGGACCTTAATTTATTATTAACATACTTAAAAAAATACATTACCTTTATAAAATAATACACATTTTTAATGTCATTAAAAAATGTATCACTAGCTCTCCATTTTCCAGCAAGAAGAACCCGAGAAGTGCAGAAATATTTATAAATATTTGTGCCAAAAATAAAAGTATTTAGAAAACTTCTTTGCTCTCTTATTTACATAGATATATTATAACTTTCATGCAAAGTAAAAGTTGTCTGTTGTTTGCAAAAGTAAGAGACAACTGTGGTTGTTGGACTACAAACAATTGTAAAACGAATAGTGTATACATCACCATGTGGGACTGTTCTTGCTTCATATGGTCTTAATTTTTAAAATTTTTATTTATTGATTTGAGAAAGAGGAAGGGGGGGAAGGGAGGAAAGGAGGGAGGGAGGGAGGGAGGGAGGGAGGGAGGGAGGGAGAGAGAGAGAGAGAGAGAGAGAGAGAGAGAGAGAGAGAGAGAGAGAGAGGTGGATTTGTTGTTCCACTCATTTGTGCATTCATTTGTTGCTTCTTGTATGTGTCCTGACCAGGGCTTGAACCTGCAACCTTGGCATATCAGGACAATGCTCTGAGCTACCCAGACAGGGCAATATCAGCTTAATTTTAAGTTGATCAAGTACACACACACAAACACAAGTCCTTTTCTTGTGATTCAGATCCTACATTCCAATCCATTTCAGAGTTCACAGGAAGTGAAAGATTCAAGATAGCCCATTTGTCTTTTTTCCCTCTAGTTTTATGTCTTCCCCTCTCTAGTTTTCCCTTCTGAGACTGCTATTAATTTCTTCCCCTCACAAGTGACCCCATAGCGTCATGATTCTTTTATCTCAGAGGCCATAACTGGTTGGCATACTCTTTTTTGGTTGGCCCACAGAGTATTATCTTAATTTTTTGTTTAATTGCCAAGAATTAAAAATCAGGAATTTAAAATTTTTAAATATTGTTTTTCTTCTTTTTTTTTTTTTTAAAAAAAATGTTGTTTTTCTTGATGACTTTCTTTGGATATAGATTGTAGCTGTGAACAAGCCAGAAGAATGTGCAAAGGCTATTGTACTTGAACTTGAATCTCTGAGGTGGCCATCGACTCACCTCTGTGAGCAATCTTATATTAATATTTGTTTTAATACAGAAACTTCAGTGTGTTTTGGATTGTGGTCAAGTCAAAGAAAGTTGAGCTCACTCAGCAACCACAAAGTCAATAAATATTGGCAAAAATTTTGGTTCCTTGGTCTCTGGATTTTTATTTTAGTCTCCAAAGTCTAGGGTGGTTTCTTGGCAATCTGGAATTCTGCATACAAAATACTATAATTATCTAGAAATTAGAACCCCTTGGGGGACATTTCTAAGACTTTTATTTATTGCTACTCAAATTGTTATTTTATTTGGGTTTAGTCTTTATCTAAGTTGAAGACATTTTTCTGTGATCAAAATAAGACAAAATTAAAAGTAAAATCACGATGAATATCAAAAGACCAAATATAATACTCCTTTGTGTATATTACTTTACTATGAAGATTATAATTTCAGCAAAAGTCAACATCACAAATAATAGTAATAACAAACATGTTATGAAACTTTATAAAATATAGTGTCATAAAATATTTTAAAAACATGTTGTTTTCTCTAACATATATATATATATATATATATATATATATATATATATATATATGAACTTATTAAAGATATACTACAAGTAGAAGAATACAACAGAAACTTCAATATAGTAGAGGTATAAGGAAGAGATGTCTAAATCTGAAGATCCAGCATGGAAAATATGTCTGGGTAGTACATCTGGAAAGGAATGTGGGATGAGGTATATGATGCTAGGAGACATCAGAAATGATATAAACTCATCACTGGTATTGACTAGTGTCTGGGCAGAGGCAAGAGGCAAACATGATCCTAATTTAAACTAAAATATGGCTTTGTCTACAGGGGATCTTGCCTTTGTCTGAAACTCCAATGCAGGTAAGATTAGAGTATATGTTATCAGTCAAAATGCAGGCTACCCAGCTTACTTACAATACCACTTCAGTAAGTAAGCTGAGTAGCCTGCATCTGCATAGAGGGAAATAGTCATGTGGTGGCAAGCAGAGCTGAGGAACACTTCAAACTTTAATGTAAGAGAATATTCCCACCCTTGCTCCCACTTCTACATGTCCTCTTACTAATAACCCCTACAATACATCCCCTTGGAAGAGGGATTGCTAACCTCATTGATAAAGGCCAAGACTCTACTGGACTACATATTAACAGTGGGTGGAGTTTTTCTATCTTAAAACTCAGTACCCATTCCTGGCACTCAATTGTCTAATCCTGGCAAGGCCTGGTCCCTAGAAACATGGTAACCATCCTCATCCATCACTTTCACTTTACATATGTGGTTGGATAAGTGGATTTGTGGCTCCTGTAGCATCCTTCTCTTTCTGGATCCTACTTGGGCCTTCAGGCTTGAGCCCTATCTCAAAAGAGGTTCCACAGAGAGCCCTGTACTGGTGGTAATTGGCTGAGAGCAATAAAGTGTAGGTGGGAGCAGAAATAATTATCCTTCTTACACTGTCTATATACTTCCTTTATTCTCTCTTCCCAGAGTGATGACTTCGGAAGCACCAATATAACTTGCATTTCTCTGTACCTGTTAAGGAACAATCCTGTTACTTGGAAAAAAAAAAAAAAGTAACCTTCCAGGTTTATTTGGAAGCAGAAGACTCAAATGGACTCACAAGAAAGTGTGATCACTTTCTATATGGCATTAAGGTTTTCCCCACTGATCTTGTCTAATTCCACTCCAGTGAGTACTCTTACACCCTCCACTGGGCATACTACCACTTCTGCTGGTTTCTTCCTTTCCCATCAAGCACCGTGACTATTTTCTCTAGGTATCACCACAGCTATGAGGCACCAATGCCTCTACTAAGAACTGCTTCTACATCCTCTGGCAACTGCCACATTCAAAAGGCACCACTGACTGCCAGACTCTGAGGCTGCTTCCCAGGTAATAGCCTCATCTGCACCTACCAAGTAACTATGCTTCTTCCCTAGATGATGACTTTGCCACTAGAAACTGCTGCCTTTTCCTCCAGCAATCACAAAATTCTCCAGGCACTGCCTCTCCGCCAGGTACTATTGCAGTTGCTGTTGCCTGACACCAGTGCTGATGCACTGGAATCCTTCAAGAAGCAAAGCTAAGAAATGTTTGATATGCTTGCCGGATTTAGCAAAACAAACACCAAGAAGTCCAATTAAATTTTAATTTCAGGTAAACAACAAATACTGTAAGTATGTCCCATATAGTTGTGTGAAATGATATTTGGGGCATACTTATACTAAAAAATTATTTGTCGTTTACCTGAAATTCAATTTAACTGGGCGCCATGTATTTTATCTAGCAACATTAGTGTAGAACTAGAGGAGAACTAGTTAGTTATCTTTCCATTTGTGATTAACTCCATTAGAAATGGACCAAAGCAGTATTTACCATAATCTAAGATACTGTATTTTTAGTGCAGAAAGCTTTTGCAGTTTTTATTACCATCCCTCTATAAATCTGACTCAGACTTGATTCCATGGGAACTGGTTCATGGACAAAATCCACTCAAAATCACCTCACTCCAGCCTACACCCCCTCCCATGACTAAGGCTTTATGACCTGGTCATTCATAATAACCTGACTTCTTTTTCCCTTCAGATGAAAGCAATAAAAGGGAAGGTTATCCCTACAAGACATTGAAACATATTATAAAATCCCTATAATCAAAACAACATAGTACTAGTATAGGAAAAGAAGACCAATGTAACAGAATAGACATCTCACAAATAAGTCTAAATGCATGTGAGAATTTAATACATGTTAAATGGGAACAAATAAGATGGGGAAAGATAGACTAAACAGTGTTGGAACAGCTGGAAAACCATTTAGTAAAAAGGACAAAATCAGATCTACCTTTGATATAATATACCAGAATAAATTCCAGATGGATCAAAGATTTAAATGTAAAAAACAAAACCTTATAACTACTAGAAGAAAATACATATGGGTCAATTCCTTTCTAACCTGAAGTGAGGAAAATCTTCCTAACTATTCTGATGCAGAATCCAGAAGCAATAAAGATATGATTTGGTATCTTTATTGATACTAGACTACATACATACTTTGATGAATTTGACTACATAAAAATTTAAAAGTTTGTATGGCTAAAAATTCTCATTAAACAAAGTCAAAAGACAAATGATAAACTTGGAAAAGGTATCTGCAATTTAAAACACAGACAAAGGGCTAATATCTATATATATAAAAGCCTAATATGCAAAGTGTCCCCTTGGGAGTTTGACCAGGAGACTGGGAGTTCAATTGCTCACTATGACATGCGCTGACCATCAGAGGGCGGCACAGAACCAAGGAAGGCCCCGGGCAGCAGCCAGAAGGAAGGTCCCAGCCAGCAACCAGAAGGCCCCGATTGGCCCTGATCGCCGGCCAGGCCTAGGGACCCTACCTGTGCATGAATTTTGTGCACTGGGCCTCTAGTATTTGATAAACAAGAGCTCTTAAACATTAAAAGACCATTAACCAAATGGGGAAAATACATAAAGGTAAGAAGAGACAACTCACAACAAAAATGAAAATGGTATATAACTAATATATAAGGTGTTCAATAACACTCATAATATGAAAAATTAAAATTCATGGCCGGCTCAATGGTTAAGCATCTACCTATGAACCAGGAGGTCATGGATGGATTCCTGGTCAGGACACATGCCGGGGTTGCAGGCTTGGTCCCCAGTGGGGGGTATGCAGGAGGCAGCCAATCAATGATTCTCTCTCATCATTGATGTTTCTATCTCTCTCTCCCTTCCTCTCTGAAATCAGTAAAAAATATATTAAAAAAAAATTAAAACGGAGAAACCAAGATGGCGGCATAGGTAAACACCAGAGTTTGCTGCCTTGAAAAACCACTTCAAAAATGCAACTAAAAGACGGAATGGACATCATCCAGAACCACAGGAAGGCTGGCTGAGTGGAAATTCTACAACTAGAAGGAAAGAGAAAAGCATACCGAGACTCAGAGGAGGTGCAGTGCGGAAGTAAAATACTAAAGTACAGAGGCACACATGGAGCGGGCTGGCGGCTGAGGGTGTGGTTGTCGTTTTCACT